CACACACACACACACACACACACACACACACACACACACACACACCATGTCATTACACTAGCCAAATCGCCAATTAATGAAAAGGGAATTCATGGAGTTGTCATTAACACAATCGCCATCAAAGGTCAGGTTAGACATTAAGGAGCAAGTAACAGAAGTATCAACACTGTTATATGACTTAATATGGCACCATGATAAGAAATAATTAGTTCCCATTACTGACAGGTTATTTCAGATGGTAATGAAAAAAATACTTTCTTGATGTGATAACATACAGTAATGAATAATTTCTCAGCGGCGAACATCACAGCGTCCCTCTTGGGTCTTAGCTGTTGATACGGCGCGCGACCCGTTTTGCCTTTTAAACTAACCAGAAACGTTGCTAATTTTGACAGCTCACTTCACGAGTACCCAACCCTTAACAAGTCTGCCACCTTCTGCAGCAATGTTGAAGATGGTGACAGACAAGGAACACTGGCATGTTGATGCCCTGATGGTGTCCAGGTGGTGCTGAAATGCATGCTGTCACATGGATCAATGGGTGTTGCCTCGCGGAGCCATGTTCAGGCCAGAAAAGTTCGTTTTGCAAACTGACTTCTATATAAACATATGGAGAGCTATAAAAGAAGTATTCAGATCCTTTACTGAAGTACAGTGCATCCCTGTAGAAATACGTTGTTACAAGTTAAAGTTTTGCTTTCAAAATTCTACTTAAGCAACTCCGAGGAACTTATATTTTGCGTTGATGTTGGCAGCCCCTGTGGACAAAAGCGGTAGTGTTTTCCATGAGCACCACTGCCTCTTGTTGTTAAGATCTTGATCAGGCTAGCACGTGCTTTTGTTTTTGGAAGCGAGTGCAAGAAAGACGCAACTCTGTCACAAATATGTTAACTCACTTCAGTGGTCTTGATAATCAACTTCATAAAAACTACAATCGATTGCCTGGTCGGTCATTATGCTCATAATCACTGAAAGCTTTGAGGTGCTTGCTCAACAAAGCGGGCGACATACCGGACCGCCCCGACTCACAGCCGGATCAGCAAACGTTCTGTTGCTACCGTTAGACTGGTTTGATCCAGTGCTGCCACCACCATGCTGTGACCCCCAGAGTTACAAAAAAACATTTTGCCCCCACTACTAAAACTACAGGAATCACTATTGAAATAAAATAGACATATTTCAGTCTAGAAAGAAGAGGGCCAATTCAGGATTAGTAACTAACTCCATCTGCTGAATGGCCGACCAATGTCGACTTGTGTTTTCGCACGCATCACTGTCCCTTTTTAACTTTTTCTTTGTTCTTCGGTCAATTCTTTTTTCTTCTCTCTTCGCTGATCCTGCCCCAGTATCAGTCATAACCACAAAATACATCAAAAAAATCTCCTCAGGCTTCCTTTTAACTAGCTAATGTACGAGTAAAGTACTTTGCGCTGATTGCCTCGTTCGTTTAGGTAGGTCACATAGAGGCATCAGCATTAAATTAAGACTTTGATTAACTTTAAGTAAATCTACAAAAGTATTAGCAGCAAAATAAAGTGTAAAAGTACCTATTAGGCAGCATACTGTACGACCTCTTGTCAGTGTTATATTACCTATCTTACGTTATAGTATCACATTCATGAGCAGCATTTTAATGATCCAGTTGTACATGGTGGAGCTAAGTTTACCTGTCAGGTAGTTTAATCAGCGAGTGGTCAATAAAAAAATGATTGGACTATCAAAATATGAGGATTTCATGCTTGTTTCTTCATATAAGACAGTAAATCAAATATTTTCTGGTTTTGGACTATCAGTCAGATAAAAATAATGACATCGCTTGGGGCTCTGCAAAGTTGTATTGGGTGTTTGATGATTCATACACTTAACACTTAATTGAAATTATTAAAAATGAAATGATCGAATAGCTGCAGCCTTCGTTTAATTCTTAACAATGTATCATTTCATAAACGTCATATAGTAATCTGAAAATATAGGTGTAGTAAAGTAATAAAACAAACTGAATATTTCCTTCTTAGAAGTAGTGTAGTAGAAGTGCAAAAGTAAAATGAAATGAAAAAACACAAAGTACAAGTACCGTAAAATGATACTTTAAGGACTGCACTGATATTATGAGTAATGTCTCGTGTATTTCAGCCATTTCATCACAGTGTAAATAATCATCACAATACCAGTTTCTAACATAAATCATTTCAGTACAATATCACAAATTTCACTGCTGATACATTTAATATAGAGTGCTCAGCATAATTTGGATTTTTGTTACAGTTTTCGTATCTTTGTATGAAGCAATTCAAGAACACTTGTTTTTTCACAAAATGTTCTTCATGAGAGTAGAGTCCTTGGTTATATAACTGAAACTATTCAGGGATGTTGATCCCTAAAACCTGCTCAGCTAGTTTGACTTTGTCTTTGGGAAGGTCAAGGGAATCTTTTGAATTACTTTACGTCAGTTTGTTTAAATCAGCAGGTCTGAGGGATAATAGACTAAACTGAGTACACTCGGGATATATCATTCAGACATGTGAATTCAAATTGCTGAGTGAATCGATATCTGCAACCCCAGGACACATTAAGAACCAACCAACGAATAAAAATAATAATCTAAAAGAAAAAAAATTATATATTGCCAGAATGAAATTGGCAAAGAATGCAGGGTGTGCACATGGCAGTGGGCTGCTCTATAAAGACATCTGCTGATTACACAGTTTGGGGAGGCCTGGTGGAGAGGAGCCTGGCAGTGAAACGTGTAAAGAGATTGAGACCACACGATGACTGCTGAAAGAACACAGCACTCAGACCCTCACAGCCAGTCACTCCGAGCATGAAGCCATAAAGACGTGAAGCGGAAAGTTGCCTTCGCTCTATTTTACACAACAAGAGAACCTGGGCTGCCCAGGGTGGCAGAATAATATTAGGCCCCCGAAATCCAGTCAAGGGCTTTCTCATTTTGTTCAGGCCTACTGCTCGCCAGGCGTACAAATATCCAACATAAGCTGCATTCAATTTTTCTCTGTAATTCTGAAGTGTTAGCAGACAAGACAAAAAAAAGAAAATCCTCTATTTTGATGGTGCATTTTGGAGCATGCTCTCTGCATACGTCAGATGTGCTGTGTTCACCTCCCCAAGACGGTGGCAAATTGTGTCCGTGCAGGCATGTCTGAGCGACATGCCTGCAGACAGGTCTGCCTGCATGCATCGCTGTGTGACGCTGTGTCAACGCTCCGTGTGGCAGGTGGAGACGGAGACCTGCTTCAGGTGGGCGGGTGCTGCAGCGTGGCTCCCCGGGGAGACGCACCATGGTGCCGTACTGCAGATGTCTTCTTAGACGTGGCAGAAGGGCACTAGCACCAGCATCCAGAGCCTTCCACCTAACAGGGCCAGATCCCTGGACCTAGACAACGCCCACACCCTTCTGCCACGCTCCTTTTAGAGTCAATATTGAATCAGCACTGCAACTGCCACCTATATGATCGTGTTCATCAGCCCCATCATTTTGAGCCTTGAAAGCTGACTTCCAAGTTAGTAAACAGGAAAACATTTGGTTCAGAAGGTGATGAGAATTTAAACTAAAAACGGTGGAATAAAACATAAAATTGCAGTTTATTTACGCACAAGCTTTCAAGATTACCTGAATAAACTCATGAATACTCAGTACTTTCTATCATGTGATACAACTATTTCCACAGCTTTATCTGGTACATCATCGCTGCAACTGCAGGTTTTTATAAAAGATTTGTTTGGATATGCCTCTGGTTAGCTACACACAGGCTCTACAGCTGACATACAGATTCAGAGAAGAAACAGACGGACCGGAGAGAGTCAACCATCCGTTCTTTTATCTTTTGTCTTTTATCGCATGTCTATAAATATTGGCTGGAACAACCTTTCCTCAGTGGGCCTCAGGTACTTTTGTTCAGAAAGAGTGCTCATTATGTTTGAGCTCAGTGTTCTTTTGAGAGTAAACAGCTTTTTAATCTGTAACTGTGCAAATTCAAGTATCTTTTTTAACAGGAGATAACCACATAAACAGTGTTATTGACTCTTAATTGAAGCTTATCTCTAAATTAAGCATAGCTTTAGCACAATCCGTTCTGAGGAGATGTGTTTACATTGAGCTCATGTTTCACCAGGACATCTGAGGGCACGTGGTTCTTCCTCAGCTGAGACATATGTGTCCCTCTGATCATCTTCAGCCAATGCGTCCTACGTGTGTTTTCCCTGAGCCTCCTCTCTCCTCCTGACCTCTCACCCAGGCTCTCTCTTTTACTTTGTTGTGCAGGTCAGAGTCCATGCACCCACGTCTGCACAGCCGCATGGCCACGTTTTGGTATGCAGATACACAGATGCAGGTAAGTCTGCTCCAGGTGCACCCCACAGTGATCCTGACCCATTCTAATTCACTTCGCAGCTCTCAGGTCAGGCCGAGGGCCCAGCAGGCTCCCAGCACAGGTCAGAGAGGGCCTCAACATCCCAGAGATGAGATTCCAGACTGGCATGAAGAAGAGTGTTTGATGTGGCCCTGAGCTGGGCTATGTTACCATGTTGTTATGCCTTTAATTATCTCCAGCAGCTGCTACTTCCTGGTTGACAGGCCCTGGCAAACTCCACTGTCTCTGTAATCCCTTACAGGTGACTGTCAGTCGCAAGTCAGCTCATTGTGTACTGACAGGCTGTGTGTTCTTCTTTAAGTCAGGTGTTAGAGCTTTAGAAAGCAACATCGCTGTTTACCAAGTTAATTAACTGTGAAGTGACTGTAGACATGATTTAAATGAGAAAAAAGAGAGCTCACAGTGCTATAATGACCACAGCATGTTTCCAAATATGTTATGCAAATATGCCTCCAAGCACCAATCCCCTGCCCATTATTTTTTTTTTTACAACTTTTGGTGTCTGTTTTCTGAGGATGCAATCATGATTAAGAGACTGCAAAGTTCTCTTGGTGACAGTAAAAGTGCCACTCTGCATTCTTTATCTGGATTTCCAGCTTGCACAAAGACATCTTAACCACTGGAAATTGCCCTCTGAGGACTGACAGCTAGAGATTGATCTCAGATTAGATGAGCGCACCTTGCTGCCCGCTCTCCTTTGTCACTCCCAGGTTGGTGGATCTTTCCTTAAAACTCCACCAGAGATGAAAAACGGGAGACTTCGCAGCTGGCTATGGCATACTAATACCCTGGACTCATTAAATTAATGGGGGCCAAATTCCCCTCACTGAATGTGTATTGATGCCCTTTGAGTTTGCCGGGGCTAGAGGGTGTGCAGCACTTTGAAAGCCCTGACCGGCATATTGAACGTGTTTTAATAGAACCCATTTGAGACTCCTGGTAGGATGCACAGTAACTCTTTGCCTTTAAGGCCTTGCACCTCTCTGTGTGATCTCGTCAGATAGCCACTCCATCCTCGGATTCAGGCCTGGAGAGGGGGAGGGGACCATGCACGTTAAATAAGGCCAGAGGTGCCCATATCTCAACTGAGGCCATTCTTTCATGGAGATGTGATTCTTGGAGACATGGTGCTGAGCGAGCTTTGATGTATTAAGTTGCTCGGCGTAAGACTGGAACAGGAAGGAGGCTTACAGGCCCACGTTCAGTGGGATTGCCTCTCATTGGACAGCCGTCTACACAGTGTTGATTTAATTACTCTATTCCACTGTTCACCTAACCACTTAGGCTGCACTATAAAATGGATTCAGTGCCACATATGGCCATTATGGACATAATTGCCCAATGTGAAGACACCACTGCCAATCACTCCATAATATAGGCAAGCCTCAGGAATGTATAGGATCCAATAAAGAGGCTTAACAATAGCAGAATTTCAAGGTGTGAAGGGCAAAGAAAAATATATTGTTTTTGATGGCAATATATTGAATAACTCCTAATACCATGGGAGGAATGGAATATTAATACATGAATTTTGCATATTTGCCCAAGAGCAAAAAGATGAATTGATAAGAAAAGAAAGCTGGTGAATTTGCATGACAGAAAAAGTCCCTTTAGAGTACTAATACATCACCCTGATGGTTAACAGAACCACATGTGCCAGATGATAAGATAGGGAGAATTTATCTTCAATGAAATTAAGATATTAAGCCGCAAATCTTTTTAGCTTGTATTGATTTTTATATCGATATAGTTGTTAGGTAACAGCAAACCAAAAGCGCGTAGCTTTCTCTGCCCTGAGCTGAGAATACATCATGATATAACGATAATCTTGCTTTCAGTTCTGCTCTGTCATCTTGACTTCATGCTCTTGAATGCTGTCAAGCAGGAAAACATCGCCGACATTGATGAGATTATACGCAGTCAGGAGTGAGCTAGCAGGACTCATCCCAGCAGACGGAAATAGACGAGTGGATACTGACAGCAAGATGCAGCGTCTGAGCCAGACAATGAGGCTCTAGCTGCTGAATATAGTGAATAAACAGAAATCCAGTGGAGCTAAAAATGGCTGACTCAGGTGCGCGCAGCAGAGGAAACATCGCATTTCTCGATTACAACTCCCTCTCCCTCTCTATTGTAGCCTTTGCATGTGACTAAACAGCCCCATATACAGTATATACCTTTTACAGAAACTCATGTTGGGCAATCATTTGATTTCCATAGCTAGCTTTGACAGTAATGATTTCATAAAGCCTTTGATTTTTAGCTCGATCGCCATGGCTGCAACATCGCCCGGGTATGGCTTCTCATTAGCGATTCTATAAGCAGAGAGCAACGTACCGCTGTAGCGGCTGGTACTTACATGCCTCCCACTCTAAAGTGTGGCGGTAATTTATTCTCTCCACAGTGCTCATCATTCTGATGCAACTCACACAGTGACAAGAATCCATCTCCGTGGTACCTGGCAACAAAGCGGGAGGTGGGCTGAAGGGAGGGGGAGCACATATTTTGTGATCACAATCAGAGGGGAGAGGAGCGGTTACCAGGCAGGTTTAGAACATCCTAATGCCACAATTCTACCACGAGAACATCCCGTGAACACTAAAACCAGAGAGAGGAGGTAAAAACAATTCACTGGCTGAGATTTGATCATATATAAGCTATCTCCTTCTGCCAAAAACTTTCTCAGAGTACAGCTTAAGCACTTCAAAGTGAAGTACTATATAGAGAGTATGATTCATTTGGCAGCTCATATTGTCCAGCTTCAAAAACCTAAAGCTAGTCAGAGACACACTGTGGGCTGTTTTCAGCTTCAGAGAAGAGAAAGAATTTGGCTTGAGCTTAGACCGCCCATCCCCATCCAGAGATGGGCTCTTTTTCATCTTATCGTAGTCTTAGCGCATTGGTGTGGTGACTATGTGCTTCACAGGTGGGAGTCTGCCTCTGTCAAATAAGCCAGTTCACTAAGGACGGGATTTGCCGCTGTTATTTTTCTATTAGGGAAGAATTATGCTAAGCCTTTAGAGGCCATCTTTGTGTTGCTATGGCAGCCCATATTTCCTACCGGGTTGAGACCTTGAATGACTACAGTGCAAAGCCAAGTAGCCCCCGAACCCTTTGAGGATTAGAACCAGGGTCTCATAGTTATGCAAAACACCTCTGATATGATTGAACCTTGAATAGTTGAATGACAAAGTTTATTGAGATTGCCTCTCTTTTCATCTGATTATTGTCATCTGATTATTCCCAATCACTTGGCATGGCTTCAAACGCAGCTTTTCAAATGGCGATTGTTTAGGACAACACTAAGAGCTTTTTCTCTAACATGTCCACAAACCTCATATCTTTGACTATTGGAACAAGGAAGCATGATTCATGGTGGTAGAAATGTAATACAAAGACGTTCATCTCGAACAGGAATACAGTGAAACGCATTCCTTTAGAAGGCAGGGCTAAAACTATCCGTGCACCTTATCTGTTGACTTCTTTACATCAACTGATTGTTTGTTTGAAAATGGCCATTACAAGTGTGTGCAGTGCCGAGGCTTCATCTACCAATTTCTTGTTTTCTGTGATCAACGTCAAACGATATCTGATTTTAAATCATAAACAAAGAAAAGCAGCAAATACTCAAATGTGCACATCTTGCAGCAGTGAATATTTGGTATTTCTGCCGTCTTCAACGATTATTTGATCATCACAATTGTCCATTAATTTTATGTTAATCGACTACGTATTTTTCCAGCACTAATTGAGGCAAATGAATATGCTAATTACAAACATGCTGCTCATTCGAAGTAGCTTAATACTCAGTTTCCGCTCAAATTGAGTGTTGGTATCCATAGATTCTATAGAGATAACCTTTTTGTAATTTACAGCTGATTTGGGAATTTCCTTCATATAGCTCCCACAATGCCTTTCAGCCTACTAACTAAGGCCTCCAAGTCGTTGTGAGCATCAAACACAACGTTTTGCTTGTGAGAGTGATTTCACAAACCAGAGGTCTCGTGCAGCCAAATCAATAGAAATAGTTTTTCCTTTTGGGATTTTGTCGTCACGTCCCCAACTGTTTTCAGACCAGCCATCAAAGCCTCAACTCTATTCGCAGACATGTATAGACAGCTACTCGAAGCTGACACGGAGATGAGGCTTTGAAAGTATAAGATTGACACTATTGTGGTCACAAAGCACAACAGGAAACGACTTTGAAGAGGAAAGTGCTTTGAGTATTGGATTTCACTTTCGAAATTGTGGCCGAATACGAGCTCAAGTATTAGGCGTGTTGAATTGGTGTACATTAAACAAGAAACCCAGACATGTGCACTCTACGCCTCTTCTGCTGTGTCCAAACAGAAATGTAAGAAGGTCCAAAGTTTTGAAACCACAGATAAATACACGCCGATTCTTTCTTTTTTTATCTGAAATTTGCTGCGCACTGTCTCCTACTTCTGTATCTTGGGACGGTGCAGGCTTGTGATGCGAATAAAAAGTTGACAATATATCCAAGCGAGCAGTACTTTTTTTGACTTCACAAAATAAAACGTCGCTATCAGAGCCACGTCTTGTTGGCAGTTTGGGAATTGATCAGTCTCAATCCCAAACTGCATCCTTGTCAACTGGCAGGTCTGCTGAAGATGACACATTTCCTGACAGTGCCTTGTCAATGACTGCACTTGAGTGAAATCCCCAGCCATGTTTGCTCACTGCCAAAGTGATATCTATCATCGTATTTTTGACAAATTTGTCACACCCGTCTCTCAATCTAATTGGTCTTTGAGGTTCCTGTAAGACAAAGACTGCTAATCTTAGTGTGTGTGTGTGTGTGTGTGTGTGTGTGTGTGTGTGTGT